CTCGAAGCCGTCGTGCGAGAGAGCGCAGCAGGAGACGGGGCGTGCGTGGCACGCGTGTGTGCGTGCGTGTGCACGCGTGTGCAAGGCCCAGGGCCGTGTGGGCAGGCAGGGCACGTGGGGAAGATGGCAGGGCTGGAGGCAGAGGAGGAGGAGGAGGAGGGCTTTGCCCGTGGCGCTGAGCATCTGCTCGGGGCACCCGTTGGGCACAGGGATGCGCTGGGTGTCGGCACCAACAAGCCCCATCGACCACCATTAATACTGAGGAAGAAGAGGCTGTTTAAAAGCAGAGAGACGGAATGAAGCAGAATCGGATGGGGAGGGGGATTCAGAGTGATGGGGCATCATGGTTTGGGGGTATTAGTGTGACCCTCGTCCTTGGTTGGGGGCTCCTGCTCCGTCCCTGCATCTCGGGGTCTCTAGATGGGACGGCAGCAGACTCCAGAGCGATGGAGATCGACCCTCGATGTGGGGATTAGTGTCCCCAGAGGTATTTGCTGCAGGGGGTGGGCGATGGGGGGTGTTCAAAAGCAGCACCGACACGGCCCTGTGCCACAGGAGCATCCCAGACCCATCCCAGACCCATCTCCGGGGGTGATCCCATGGGATTTCACCCCACATCCCCCTTGGGGTACCAGCCAGAAGGAAAACCAGCAAGAAAATCCCGCCTCAACAAGGAGATACGCCAACCCCGTCCTGCACCGGCGTTGTTTTGGGGGAAAACAGGGGATAATATTCCTCATCTCCCCGTCGTGCATCTGGGGGTGAACCAACCAGCCCCGAGAGCGTGGGCAGCCGACGGGCAGCGCCTGCACCGGCTGCCAGGCTCACCCTGGGAAAGGTGAAAGTTATTTTTTCTAATGTTTCGGACAGATTCACCAACACGTGAAAAAACTTGGAGGAGTGAGGACCGCGGGGGATGTGGTTTTTCTCCCTTGACTGACTCCCAAGGATGCGATGCTGCTGCGGCTGCAGGGCTGTGCTCCTCCCCACCCCCTTCCCCAGCGCTGCTGGGGGCTGGGATGAAACTGTTACCCCAAAACAGGCTCCCAGAAGGAGCTGGAAGTTGTTTGTGCAGCTAAATCCAGTGTCTGCCAGCAGGAAAAATGGGGTTTTCGGGGGGTGGGTGGGTGTGTTGGATGGGGCAGAGCAGGAGGATCTGTGGATGGTGGGGGAGGCTGCGCTCCCAGCTGGGAGCAAAGTGAGATGGGGGGGGGGGAAGATTCCCCCTTATGCTGTTTAGTCATAAAAAAAGGATGTTTTTGAGTCACAGAGGGAAGAT